TGTATTAATAAAATTTAATGAAACCTTGTTTTAGGTATATAATACCTGAATAAAATATTTAAAAAAAGTAGGTATTCCGTTTTAATTTCAAAATCCATAAAATAATAATATATATATATATATATATATATATTCAATGATACATTTAAGGGATGGTCCATGGAAAATATACAATAATAATTTAGAATAAAAAACATCTTGAGTAAAATTATCACTGTATAGAGTTCGTGAAGGGTATAGCGATAATGACCCAAAAGTTCGGAGGATTTTTAAAAGAGGGTGAAAGTAAAGTAAACATAATATACATTATACACAGTAATTTCATTTTACGATTTAATATTCTTAGTATTGATTTCATTTTAATAATATTTTTTAAAACTTGATTTTCCTTGAAGTAAATACTTATATAATTATATAATATTAAGTATTTATTTAATTAATTATTAATTGCAACACAATAGTGAAGGATGGTGGTAGCCTGATCTTGGCCCTCCCTACATATGCTATTATACACGCCGAAACCTAATAAGTAGAAGCAATAATAATAGCATAACAAATACCACCACATAGGTACTGATACTTAGCTCATCAAGCACATAGAGTAACATACTATCTTTGATACTGAGATGACAAACGTAAACGGTCCTTTTAAGGATCAATTGACGCGCGATATTGGCCAGCTTTAAGGCCGTTTGCACACACACCGATAAAATCGGACGCCAGTGCCGGATGCAATGTAATTAAGTTAGTGCTTTCACATATAGACCGGACCTATAAATTTGTCAATCCGGTGGACGATTTCGGGATACGCAGTCGGTGTTGAATTCGATAATTCGAATGTCGGACTAATCTCCGAATTATCGATTTCAATGTTTTCTTATAAACGTATAAGCACAGGTCGGCCACAGGTCTTGTTAGAACCGGTAAAAACCTAATAATAATTATATTTATATGATATATATRATATTATKTGATACGATAAGACTTTAATAAATTTCCATACAAGTTTATTTTAGCATTGACATCGATCTCGTTGTGGTACGTACATTTTTGTATACCAAAAATGACTAAATTGTTTAAGTGCGGCCTTATCACTTTAATTGAGCTCATCGAAAGTAAGCTCTGTTTGTAGGATGAGACAACAGATGGCTTTAAAAACAGAATTGAAAAACAAAAAGCCTGGAATGAGGTGTATACGTTTTTTGAAGAAGATTTTGTACAAAAAGGAACAATTAAAAATAGGTATTTTATTTATTTAAATAATAAAGTAGTTTTACATTCTTATTTTTAATTTATGATATTACAATATTAATAATAATTTCCTTAAACATTTAATTTATAAATTAAAATAATAATGTAGATATTATTATGTACCTATAAAGTCATATTTTTTTCAATTTCCATAGCAACG